CTGGGCTTGAACCCGGCTCATTCCGGCTCGTGCCAATGTGCGGCTGGCATCCGAGCTGGGCCGAAATGAACCCGCCCTGGTTCACTGAGCCCGCAATCGGTCGGGCTCGACCGCGCAGGGCCTTGTCATGAACCCGTCTACCCGAACCGTCGGACACAAATAGAATCTCAATGCTTCTCATAATTTCTCAGATCATCAACATTTATTGAAATAAAAAAAGCAACAAGAAAAAGTAAAAGAAACCCTTCCACCCCACTGGCAGAAATATGAGGAATATGAACAAAGCTTAAGACACTAAAGTATAAAGGTGCTGTAAGCATAAAATCTATAATAAATATGAAAATAATCTTTTATATCATGATTGAAATCAAATAACATTAGATCTGATTTTACGATACATACCTTTTGATGTGATCTAAAAAAGGAATTTTAGTATGATCTGCAAAAATACCGTTTTTACATCCAAGATTGCTGTCAATCTGTAAAGAGAACTAGATCTTTCTCTTCTCTTCCTATCTTTTCACAAGACCACTTAGGTCGAGAGAGATACGTAACATTGATCTTTTAGTCCCTAAGGAACCTATCTATTTATAGACGAGAGTAGAGGGTCTAATATAAATTATCATGAGATTTCCTCGTATCAAGCGCATCCCCTAAGAAATCATACTTTAAATGAATTTCTTTTATTGATCAATATCTATTATTAAAATATAATTAATTTAATTATATATCTTATTTGATTATAAATGGTCACAAAATCTAACCGTTGCAAGAGCTATTAATAATTACTCGAGTTCATTAGCTTTTTGTTGAGTACACTCTTAGGTTGGATATCATGCAATTGATATCTGATGACTGCATGCCGGTGGGGTTGAGAAGTAAAATTGTTAGCTTTTGGTGAGCAGTAGTGGTAAGAGTCTTCGTTGGTTGAGATGTTTGTGTTTCATGCATTATCAGAGGTTTACATTCAGCCTCTTACGTGCAGCCAAATAAATGCAGAACTGTTGTCTTCATCGTCGATCATAGATCAACTTCCCAAGAAGATTCTTCAGTCATTAATCAATTTAAAGTCCTATAAATCAATTTAATTATCCCTATCATGACACTGCATGAAAAGGTGTGCAGGACTGGTGCCTGTGGATCGCGTTGCATGGGAGACAGCAAGTTAAACGATGCATTGCAGGTGGGGGGTTTCCCTGTGTGATCACTGAGTCTCCGCAACGGGGCAAGAAGAACATCGCCCCTCTTTATCGAGACTTGATTGCAGAATTGGGATTGCTTTCATATATACGTTCAAAGAGATCTTTATTGATCACACAATAATTGTCTGCCGCTTTATTCCAAATTCTCCATTAACCCATGGAACACTTGTTTGCTTACCAGCACTGTCTCTAATCTTAGATGATAGAGAAACCTCCTCCTCTCATCGAGAATTTGATGCTCCAACTATGACAATGGGCTTATTATTATCTCGTAATACATTAGCTTAAGTTAAAAAAAGAAGAAGGAAGAAAGCATTGGACTACTGCGAGAGACAGTGCATGCCAACTTCAGTTATTCTTCACTTCAAATAATTAAGAGGTTTACGAGTTCAATCTCCTATAAACAGATGGTTTTCTAGCTTTTTCTCTTTAATTAATTCATCATGCTTACACGGGATGTTGAGACGTAAGAAGCATGAGATCCAAGAGGAAGCTATACAAAATCCATGGAACTGATAGAGATGCAGTTGAATTCTCACAACAGTAATAGCAGCAATGATGAAAAGTTAGGGTTGGAAATTCCAACTTTCCAAAAATTCACATTTTATTTTTGATAGTGAACATATTTCTCTAGTTTTCAATTTTCAGAGAGTTACTATAGGAAACATATTCCTCACTTGTTATATAGACATGTCCATGTTGCTATTAGAAGAATCTTGGCTGAAATCTTTTGTATGATGTGATAGATGTTTTGATCCTTGGGTGGAGGAAGGGCCAAAGTTCTCAATCTGGAGTCATACGCAACAGTAGAAATATCTACCGGTCCAATCATGTCTGTCTCGATCATGACGAGGGCCACATACCGAATGAAAGGAAGCTGCACCGGCCAGCGTTGGCCCCAATTTTTTGGTAGTGTGAGATTGCATGCAGATAAAACAAGATAGTATAGTTAAAAACAATTATTATTGTGCTGCAAGAAATTGTATTGCATGCAGACAAAACAATTATTGTGCTGCAAGAAATGAGATAGATTCAAGCTGAAGGGACAAACACAGGAAAATGGCTCAGTCACTGTCGAGGATTGCTCTTGCAATATGATGGATTTTAGTTTGATTGGACTTGGATTATTTCAAGAGACATTCTTGGATATGTCTCATTTGAAAGCTGTCCTTCCACTGTTGGCAGTGGCTAGGTGAGAGGGAGGAGGAGAGAGAACAGTCAGAGGAGGGGAAGAAGAAAAGATATGCTCGGGTTGCCTTGGATCAGAGATTTGGAGGAGGAGAAGAGAGAGGATTAAAAGGGACATGGGGAGGAGATGGAAGGAAGGTTGGGGTCTGAGAGGAAGAGGAAATAATGGATTATAGGATTGGGAGTGGGAGAGAGATTTACATATGATTATGATGATTGTTAAGCTATGCTTCAGAACTTGTCATTTCAGTTTGATGAGCTTATTGATGCCTCCAAATAAGTATAGACACATCATCTCCTTTTTAGCAGCTTGCAGATATATAAATATGAAAGGAGAATCCAATACTCGATTGTCTTTTATATATCCAAATCATGAAACGCATATATGCTATCATATAAATAAGCATTAATAGAGAATCCTGTCCTTGAAGTAGTAGTACACAGCTTAGAACAGCTTGGACAATGCAACTACATATGGAGTCATGCATTACAATTACAAGCATGCGTTATATGGTAATCACAACTTATCATGTCATTGTCTTTCTTAGAGGAATGAAATCACCATGTCCTTTTCATTGTCTTCCACCCAAGTGATCTGATCATTTGTAGAAGATGGGCCAGTCTTGGATAGATATTTTACTTCCACCAGTTTCAGTTTCAGTTTCAGTTTCAGGTAGACTTCTTATTCCCTGTTGCAGGCCAAATATAATGCTCTGTCTTTTTGTTTTCCTGGATATGTGATCGAGGATCATGATAAAGATAAATATAGAATGACAATCTTATATTGTCATTACATATTTGTCTTTATCATGATCGTTTATCAATCTGAAAGGGACAAATATACACTTTGAAAATATATCCTGCACTTATTTTTGGTAGCATTCAGTACTTCTGTTCACAAAATTCTGATATTTTTTATGAAGCCTTACAAAGCTAAGCTTGAAGATAGTTTTTGCCCCCAAAGAGCATCCATCCTCTTGTCCTAAGAGTTCTATAGGGGAATCATATTTAAATTTGATAAGATTATAATGGAAGTGAAATCCTTCATGTAATTCTTCGATTTAGTTGAGTCTACTATTATTAACCTGAGCTTAAGCATCAATTATTTAGATTGTCACACCTCACAAGAAGAATTTATTTGAGTTTCTGTTTAAAAGAGTTATAGTAGCTAAAAAGCAGCTATGTCAAATTCTTGGTAGTTGATCATCATCATCACCATCACCTCCACCAAGATTTGGACTACCACAAAAGGCCAAGAATCTAGTGGTGGTTGGCAAGATGACTTTCATACTTAGTTGAGTCTTCCAGATTTGCACAGTATTCAATCATAATGCTTCACTGTCCAGTACAGTAAACTATGATTACAAGCAACCTCAATCTCAGATGTGGAGAATATAGTAATGAATCATTGAAAATAATACTACTAATTATGATTTGTTTAGATCTATGAAAGTTGACCAGATTATAGATTTGGAAGGAAATCTAATCCTCTCCTGCTAGTGGCTCTATTAAGATCTAAATTCACTGTTTCATATCTTTCATGTGGTCCACCAATATGCATCACTAGTAACTCTTCCTTAGCAAGTGGACAACCACAGCAATTGTAGGAGGGGTCTACCTGTGTGACCTCAACCTCCACCGTTTGCATAAACTACATATATGAATGGGTCCGTAAGCATTATTGTACATACATTTAGATGTTATGAATCCACCACTTTGTCTTCTTGCAGAAATAAGATGGAACCTTCTCTTCAGCTTTGGCCAGAGTTCACAGGGGCTCTTTGAAGCTGATTCATGCACTTGCTTCTATGACATATGAATTCAGAAACAATTTCCATTTATCTTCAGCTTATAAGCATTTGTCAGTTGTGGGAAGAGTATCTTTTCACTGGGTGGAACTCCACCTGGTGTTCTTCCTACCTATCAATCTATGCAACATGCAAATATCTTAATTGGAAGTGCACATATACAACAATCTCTGATGAGAAAACAGCTGGAGTTCACTGGTTCATTTGCTGAAACTGGTCTACCATGTTTCATAACATAAGATGCATCATATGATTCTCCATAGCTTGTCAAAATTGGAAAAAGGTACCAGTGCATGGTTGGTGATTGGTGGAACCACCATCATTACAAGTCCTATTTGTTGGAGAGTGAGTGTAGTTTTGTGCTGCTATAAACATCTTTGCATCATAAAACATTTCTATGCAGCACCATATGATACAAAGAATCTCTTGGCATTTTGTTGAGCATTGGCCATTCAAAAGGACAAAGAACAGAGAAGACACAAATGAGACATCCTACTAACTCAACTGAATAAACTGTCTTAATGTATTAGATACCATCTTCAACTACTCAATGTTGACTCCAAAAAATACAACTCCTACATATGGGGGGAGAGAGAGAGAGAGTTGCTGGAGGAAAAAATCAAGTTGATTGTGTCATAGACAGAATACAATTAACTCAGTGTGAGAGTTGAAGTGTTTTAGGTAACAATCATATGCTTAGTATTCTCATGCAAATTCTGATATCTTGTAGCTAAGTGGAAGTATGACCATAGCAACCAAAGCCACAAAGAGCAGCTTCTTTCCACACCCACTTTGTTGTCATATAGGTAGTCAGCTGCTTCCATATTTAACAAAAAAATAGATGAATAATGTCATATATTTGTGGAGATTACAGATGGGATAATGTTGAAAACATGATTTGTCTACATTTAAACATATTTGACAATGTGAGCCTAAGAGATATTTCCATACCACAAAAAGGCAAGAACATGGTCAATGTTCAGACTAATGAGATCTTTATGCTTTTAATGCTAGTCAAATCATGTTTTCTCTATCATGTATTCATTTAGTGATTAAATAGGTTTTTCTCTCACACAATTAGTTCATGAACCATGGAATTGCAACTTTGCATGAGTATGTAGAACATGTGACCAGTAGCTACACAAGCATCTACTAAGAGACACAAAGAAACCACACAGCAACTCACTATCACCAGTACATGCCCCAGAGGACCAACATGGCATCATGTTCCCTAGACTAAGTTGGGACCTTGTCCTTTCCTCACTATCATTCAATTCAATTTAAGTTGGCCATTATTAATATCAATCAGACAGAGTGAGAGATTCTTCAAGGCATGTGTGTGGATGGCTGATACACTGATATGCCACTCCCACCACACCTTACAAGGAGTTGGACAGTCAATTCCATCCTTTTATGATGTAAGATGATGGAATTGGTCCAATTCTCCTTCTTGTGATCATTACCCACTTAACAAGAATCAACCACACCCCAATGGAAAGGACATGCTAACAAATCAAAACCATGTAGCTTCCTCATAAGTGCCATAATCTTGGGAGTCAGCTGGAGAGCATCCATCAAGCAAAGTGCATCTCCTGCAGAAACATTATATATGATTGTTTGAATCTATAATGCAAATACAGATGAATCTTTCAAAGATTATAACTCATTCAGATCAAAATTGATCAAACCTGACTCCATAATAATCTTTACAAGAAAGCATAAGTACATGAAATAATTGATGTCTTTTGCTACTGATATCTGTCAGGACTCGAAAGCTCAACAAATTATTTATGTGGTTGTTGTCAATGCAAAATCTAAAAGAAATAAATATACATAGTCTTATCTTTATATAAGAACTTATTTTTTAGACTTAAACTTTGATCTTCCAAATCTAATTTTAATATCTCTCTCTCTTTTTTTTCTTTTTTTTTTTTGTATAAGGTAAGTGACGAAGGTGATGGAATTCAAGATTTTATGAGTTAAGTTAGCTAACGAATTAGGTTTCCTCGTCAGTGATGTGCCGTCAAGCTGTGCTTACCATTAATAAGCTCTAAAAAACCCATGGGAAGGTGGAAGACTCCATAACCTGCAAGATTGCATCATCTCCAAGAATCTTCCCTCTCATTTCATGCCCAGGTTTTGTTGCAGGTTTGTGTCAAATACCTACAGGGAGAGCGTCACGGATTCAATAATCACTTGCCCGGAAGCTTCGCATGAGACAGTTTTCTCATGCCATCTTTGTTCTCGTCTCCCTCCTTCCTACTCTACCGTAGCTTTCCTTCTTCTCCTCGTCTCCGTTCCTTTTCTTCTCATACTTCCTCTACTCCCTCTTCCATATTATTACGTAATATCAACCTAAAATTCCGTACTTTTTATGTCAATCCTTTTATATTTTCCCATCAAAGCTGGTCAAGAAACGTCTAATATGATTAATTAGCGCAGAGAGAGAGAGAGATGTTGGAATTATGTATATGATATCACGTCAACCATCTTTCTTTTTCTGCGTGTGTGATTTGAGGACATATCAGATCGTCGGGGCGGCTGAGATGAATCTAAAAGATACTACAAAGCTAAACTGTAATGGAGGAAAAGGTCGCGACGGTGCCTTGGTTGGTACATATATACAACCTGTACTTAATTCTTCCCACCCCCCAACGGGGGCAGACAGGAGAGGAAACAGAGCGCGAGACTGCCGGTCTCTGAGCTGTGGTGTCTCTTGTTCTCGTTCTCCTTCCATGGACCACCACCGCCCAGCACCCAATCCCAATCCCAACTCCGCCAAGCGCCACTCCGAGGTCCTCCTCGGAAGGTACGAGCTGGGCCGCCTCCTCGGCCGCGGCACCTTCGCTAAGGTCTACCTGGCGCGCTCCCTCTCAGACGGTGGCGCCGTGGCCGTCAAGGTCCTCGACAAGCCCGAACTGGTCGACTCCGGGTTGTCCCGCAGCTTCCTCACCGAGGTTGCCGCTATGCGCCGCCTGTCCCACCCCAACATCCTCAAGCTCTACGAGGTCATGGCCACCCGGTCCAAGATCTACCTCATCGTGGAGCACGCCCCCGGCGGTGACCTGCTCGCCCGCGTCGCCCGCCGAGGCCGCCTCCCCGAGTCCGTCGCCCGCCGCTACTTCCAGCAGCTCGTCTCCGCCCTGCACTACTGCCACGCCCGCGGCGTCGCCCACCGCGACGTCAAGCCCCAGAACCTCCTCCTCGACCGCGACGGCAACCTCAAGGTGTCCGACTTCGGCCTGGCCGCGCTGCCCGAGCAGCTCCGCGACGGTCGCCTCCACACCGCCTGTGGCACCCCGGCGTACACCGCCCCTGAGGTTATCCGCCGGAAGGGCTACGACGGCGCCAAGGCCGACGCCTGGTCCTGCGGCGTCATCCTCTTCGTCCTCCTCGCTGGCTCCCTGCCCTTCGACGACGCCAACCTCGTCCTCATGTACCGGAAGATCCACAAGCGCGAGTATGAGCTGCCGCCGTGGGTCTCCCCGTCGGCGCGTCGGCTGCTGCTCCGGCTGCTGGACCCCAACCCCGAGACCAGGATCACCATCGGCGCATTGATGGAGCACCCGTGGCTGAAGCGGTCCTTGAGCCTGGACTCGCAGCTCAGTAGCATGGCGCACCTTCCTCCGACCACAAGAAACGATCTCACTCCCATCCTGAACGCGTTCGAGCTCATATCCCTGTCGTCGGGTTTGAACCTCTCGGGGCTCTTCGACGACGGCGATAAGAAGAAGAAGAAGGAGAAGAGGTTCACTTCGACGCAGTCCGTCGAGAAGATCATGGAGAGGATCGACGCGACCGGAGAGAAACTGGGCTACATGGTGGAGACAAGAAAGGGATCAGCAGTGGCGAGGTGGGGGTCGATCTTGTCGGTCGAGGTATTGGAGGTGGCCTCGCCGCTTCTGCTAGTGGAGCTAAAACTCGAAGACGGCGGCGATAGTGGCAGCAGCGAAGGTGAAGACTTTTGCTGGGAGGAGTTGAAGGCAGAGCTGGGAGACATAGTGTTTGCATGGTATGACGGTGGGGGGGATTCATGAGCCTCCTCAGCTTGTCTGTAATAATAATCTTCTTCTTCGTAAGTTCCAGGATCCATGGAGGAGGAGACCCTTGAAACAGTGGTCTCTGTTCTCTGTTTCCTTTCTTTACGGTGTCATCTGCTGGTGTGTTGCTCGCTGTGTGTGTGGTTTGGGTATCTCTTCCGTCATCAGATTCTGGTCTGATGTTGAGGGGATGGAGGATGCAGATCAGGTTAAGCACTCGTCCAAGCTTAGCATTCAGAGAAGCCTTAACGCAAATAGGCAGACCGAAGGGAAGTGGTTGGGCACCCTCACTACATTTCTTGTGCTTCATGTTGTGAGATTGTACAGATGCTGCTGTAACTCTGTTCTTGTTAGATTCTGAGCACTTGCCCCATTCCAGATATGTCCGTCCCGGTTCAAGGGAAGACTGCAGAGCGAGCGTCCGGGAGACCTGTTGGAATTGGCTTCCCGATGACTAAGGATGGCAATTTGTTCTACCTTGTGGAGATCTAAAATCTACCACGAAGCTCTCAATTCATGTAACATCTTCTTGGTCTATTTCCAGGAAAGGGATTCAAATCTTTCCGAGATGATGGGGACTGGAAACTGCTCAAGGAGGATGTACCGCAGCCATTATTGAGCATGTAGGCGAAAGCGACCATGCACGCACTGGACCAGCCACAAACTCCTCTTCCATGGAAAGCTCTCAGGACTTCACAGTCAACACAAACGTATCAGACACATGCTTGGGTGGACTGCTCGCATGAACCTGTGGTCCTCAACAAAGGCAGCGAATTTGATGGACGCAGTGACGAGTCATGGACAGAAGAATGCGTCGATTTCAGGTAACGCTCACCGGCAAGCGAAGCGAGGCGTTGAACCGATGCAGGCCGCTGAATTTTGTGGTGCCTGCCGGCTTCTGCTTGCGATCGAGAGACGTCCGGGGATCCCCTGAGCGGTATCCAATGCATACTCTTCTCCTCCTCTCCGTTCTTGGGGTGGAGTCGGAGAAGGGGTATTCTTATTTTGCAGATGCGTATTAGGACCTGTAATTATTTTTGAATTATCAAGGAAAATAAATTACTTCAAGAAACGTATGATAAAAGAATTGAAGGAAATACAATCTTCCCAGAGTTTATCATTGAAATTTATGCCAAAAGGTATGCAAGAGGTTCTATGGCTTCAATTCTAGGCATTGAAATCTCAAAGAAATAAACTTCTTAGGATGCCACCACTGTTCTTGAATCTGCAAAAAGGGCTGAAATAAAATTCACTACAGGTAGGACAAAGAAACAGTGTTGTAAAACTTAAGTAGAGATATATAGATTTCAAAAAGGAAAATATAAAATAAGGGCGAGCAACTTCAACACAAAAATGTGAAAACCATGTCTTCTCAAAGACTTGCACATATTGTTTTACTGCTCCATGCAGATAGCCTCCTTTTAGATCAAGCTGCTAGTGGCAGTGAGCAACATGGATCATCAAAACTCTATAAAATTTATTGTGTGATAAGATTTAAAGGCAATAATTGAACTAGTTCTGTTTTACATATCAATCAAATCTAGTATTGTTGATGCCTGAGGCTTTTCTGTTAACATGCAGAACAAGCACAGGTACCTCTATGAAGATTGGCAATTTGCTTTCGGAGTATCGAGGGTATTGATGATAAACATCATCATGATAAAATTACAGAAATTCTTTTCAAAATATGGATGTGCTACGTACATCCATAAGAAACTAATCCATGCGATGCAAGTAATTTCATGCCATATGCACAAACGAAAATAATATCAAACCGGCATCAGAAACCAGACCTTGATGAAAGTCTAGAAATTTAGGTTAATACTTTTGTAGCTATTACTATTTGAGTAATGTAAAAGAGTTAAAAGTAGAGCTGCTCTGGATAAGAAAGTATTTGAATAAACATTGTCAAACATAACAACCAAGGAATCTCTTTGTGATCTTGAGCTAGGCTTAAATCATATCATCTGTATCTGTCTGCTTTGTGCTTTGTTTCATTTTGTACATTTTGTATCATCCATACGGTTATAATTATCTCAAAGCAATATTCTGTAGAGCTCTTGCTATATCATTCTTTAAAAAAGGAAACAGAGATCAACAAAAGCATGGAAAGCATGAAATGTACTTTGGAAAAAAGTGATTAAGCCAAAACAGAAGGTTGTCACCACTCAGGGTTGCTAGAGTGATTAAGCCAAAGGCCAATTCATGTATTTTATCTTACCGTCACAAAGTCGATTCACAAAGACCATTTTCATCTGAAAAATGTTTTCCACCCAGTCTTCTGCTCATCATAATTTTATGCTCTCACTTGCAGAATAAAACCTTATCTATTTTCCTCCCAAATGAAACTCAAAACAATCATTTATAATCCACAGTGAGTTTCTTGCAGACATAATTTTCCACCCAGAAGAAACAGATTTAATAATCAGATGATGAGAAGCAAGCACTGTAGTGGTAACAGAGGATGCCTTTCTGCAGCATTTATTGGCAATTCTCTTACATTTTTAATGACACTTCATGCATCATTGTTGAAGATTATGTGGTGTGCACAAGGTCATGACCGTAGAAGGACTAATATGCAAGATTATGTGGTGTGCACAAGGTCTTGACTGTAGAAGGACTAACATGCCGTGACATATCTTCTGGCTCGTTCAAAGATAGTTTTTTCCTATTCGAGCTCTTTTACTATACCCCAATGTTTAAGTTAAAATTGATGGTAGTATACTCATCAGGCCCTTATAAATCAATCTTAGTCTTACATGCTTATGATATAGGACTAATACATATAGATTATTGTAAGATTAGACACCACGTAATCGTTAAGCAGTCACGGCTCTGACATATGCATAAATTCCAAAAAGCGCATTGCAATCTCCAAATATCTGAACCTCTTCGATGGATCCTAACAAATTAGCAGCCAGAAACAAAGATCAACCGATTACTGAAAAATGATGAGAACTAAATGAGATGTAGAAGAACAATGGCTCGTTCAGACTATCCATGACAAACACAGCATTCATAGAAAATCACAAATAAGGTCCATACATAACCACTGAAAAGGAAATGAACAAGAGACATAATACAAAGATTGGCTCACCTTCAAACTCGACCTTTCTTCAATGAAGATTCATTCCCACGGTACACAAGTTCAATAGTTTATTTTCTCTAGTTAAGCATTTACAAGGATTTCTACTACACTATCAGATCAGACAATATGAATCAAGAACTTGACTTGAAGAAAAAAAAAGTGCTAAGAGATCTCGATACCAGAAAGGTGAAGATGCAGGGCATAGTCAATATGATCCAATTTAGCAATAAGATCATGCATTCTCCGATGAATCCGTCACAACCTTGCATCAATAAATGCTTCCTGGGAATTTCATCTCAGCATAATAGAGGACAAATCCGTCTCCGATGGGGAGTCAGTAGGATCACGCCCGGCCATAAGCCTCCCCCATTGAGGAGCCGGCAAACGAAAGCAAGCCTTCATCAGCCGCCTCCTGTTCATCGAGAAATTGGTCATCCGTGATGCGGAATGCCGCGTGAAGCCCGATGAGCACAGCAGCAATGATAAGCGAGACCAGTACATTCAATCCGACATGGGTGAACACCAGAGCAACCACGGTGATCAGGGAGAGAGCAGCCAGCACGAGGCGGTCGTCGAGGGTGCGGCCGACGAGCACGACCGGCTCGTCGCGGAAGAAGTAGAGGAAGAACCAGGCGACGAAGACGGCGAGGAAGACGATCATCGATATGGGGTGCCAGAGGAGGCTGCAGAAGAGGACGACGAGGGCGGCGAGGGCGTAGTTGACGCGGAAGTAGGCGAGGTTGCGGCGGACGCGGGCCATGGCGTCGCGGTAACCGTAGGGACGGGAGAAGGCGGAGGGGTCAGCCAGCTCGCGCCACGGCCGCCGGGTGGCCACCAGGGCCCTACCGCGCTCCTTGGCGCGGGAGAACATCTCGACGGTGCGGGAGGCGGGAGCTCCGGGGGCCCGCGCGGGCGCTGCGGTGGGAATGGCACCGTACCCCGCCACAGAACGAGAAGCGGAGGACATCGATCGCGGGGGCGTGGTGGATGATCTCGATGGCGGAGTGGGAGGAGGAAACCCTAACGCTAGATCTGAAATGGAGGACCTGTTTGAACAGCGAAACCGTTTGCTGTAATGACTGATGGAATGGGAAAGTTGTGATCTTGCGGATGCCTTTTTATAGTTGCCAAGACATTTAAATATTTACTATTATAACGCATTAATAATAAACTTAGAGATTCTTGACCTCCATGCAACATTAAATAATAATATATATCATATAATATAGTATAATATCGCAACAAAGACAGCGGCTTTGACTTTATTTCCCAAAATAACACCCTATTTTTTATTTTCTTTTCCTTCAAACTTTTTAAACTTTTCAATTTATTTGATTCTGATTTTTGACTTCGAAAAATCAAAAAATGGTCTATGCAGATAAATTAAGGTTCTTATTTTTGATCAAACTATTTTCACATTAAGTTTCTTTTTATATAAAAATTATGATATCTCAACTTAATCTTATATTAAAAACTAATAAAAATATAAATTGATTTATAAGGATCGGATGAGTATATTACTATGACTTGAGTTTAGATTTTTTTATTTTTATTTTAAATAACAAAATTAATAGGTTCATCCATTCCAACCTGCTGTGTCTTCCCCGTCACACCATCCCATGCCGCGGACGTCGTGGGAAGACCACCACCACCCCGGCCCCCACCACCACCGCCACCGCCATCAGTTTCCCACGAATCCAGCCATGGTCGGTTCATCCATCCACGCGCCCCCCATCCATCCCCCCTTCTCCTCCCTTCTTACCCTGGTGGAATCGACTTCCTCGGAAATCTTATCTGCTCTTTTGATCAAGATCTCGTGCAATCTGCTTAAGCGAGCACCTATTTCCGGTGCCTTCGAGCTCAATTCGATCGTCAAAATCTGGTAACCATTTTTTTCTCGGATAAGTTTCTGGCGATCTGCTTCCTAGTTAGGTTTATTTTACGTTGTGTGTGACCATTTTTTGTGATCCATCTTGTGGGAAAGCCAGAGAAAACTCGATCAAAATCCTATCTTTGGTTGAATTTCCTAGGATATACTTTGGTATCTCCGGTGGGTATAATCTCTCATGATGGAAATTTGGGATTTTTAGGGTGATTCAAGGTGTGGTTTCTCGAAATGGAGCAAGTGCAAGAAGCTAACAAGGCTGCTGTAGGGAGCTGCCACAGGGTCCTCAGCTTGCTCTCTCAGTCCCAAGATCAAGATCAATCAAGAAAGCTGGCGGCGCAGACAGGGGAAGCTGTTGCTGCATTCAAGAGAGTTGTGTCATTGCTCAGTGATAGTGCGAGGGAGGCAAGATTTAGGACTGTGAACAAAGTCAAGTCTCCTTCCGATCATAAGATTGGCCCTTCTCTCACAAATTCTCAGCTACTCCCAAGAGATGCCTTACATGATAACGATCGCAATGCCAACAACCTACTCCAACTCTCCCAAAGGAGCTTCCTTGAGAACCAAAAAGCCGGACAGGATCCATCATCAGCTCACCGCCGATTCCTACCGCAGCAGCAGCAGAACAATCAAACGTATCGGCTTCAGCAGCAAATGAACATTCAGGCTGACATGTTGAGGAGGAGCAGTAATGGCATAAGTATCAAGTTTGACAGCTCTGATTGCACTCCATCTGCATCTACAAGCATGAATGGAAAAATCACCAGCTTGGAAGGAAAAGTGTTCCATCTGATCGAGGGGCATGCATCATCCAACCCGGTTAACCCACATCCTCCTCCCAAGAAGACCAGTATGGTTAAAGGGGAGGACAACAATGGGAAATGTCCAAACAATGGCAGGTGCCACTGCTCAAGAAAAAGGTTAGGCTATGCAAGTTTTGTTTGTGTATTGCTGCAAACTTTGCTGTCAATTCCTATACATTGCTTCTTTTACAGGAAGCTGAGGATCAAGAGATCCATAAAGGTGCCTGCTGTCAGTGAAAAGCTTGCAGATATCCCTCCTGATGATTACTCATGGAGGAAGTATGGTCAAAAGCCCATCAAGGGTTCTCCTCATCCTAGGTGCATATTACCATTTCTCTTGTGCTCAGGATGTTTGTAACTCTAGTATCATCAATCCCTTTCTAGTTTCTGTGCTCCTCGCTACCGTCGAAAAAAAAATTTATCTCATGAATTGCATAGCATTTTTATCTTGACATCAATAATGTTGTTAGAGTCATTTTAATTTTTGTTGTATAAATGCCTTTTAACTTGAGTTTCATATTTGCCATTTATATGCTTGTTTAGATGCAAGTCTTGGTTTCAGTTAAAGCACTCTAGTTTAGATAGTAGAGAGTACTACTGATTTATGTTAGCTGGTATATCTCATTTCTATCTAATTGTGATTCAACTCCTACCATTCATCCAAACTTGTCATTAAAGATCTAATACAACTAATAACTGAGTTCAGAATTCAACATCTCATGAATATTGTACCTTCTAAATTCATGATTAATACTCAATTCCTTTATTTTTTGTATTTTTGTTGAATGTTCTTACTGCATCAATCATTAAACCAACTAAGAAAGAGGTGATAAATCCCAAATGCAGGGGGTATTACAAGTGCAGCAGCATTAGAGGCTGCCCTGCAAAGAAGCATGTGGAGAGGTGCTTGGAAGACCCCTCCATGCTTATTGTCACCTACGAAGGCGAGCACAACCACACCAAGCTTCACACCCAATCTGCCCAAACATAGATACTAATCTCCTCCTCACAGCCAGTGCAGCCTACTGCTGCTTCTTGTACATATCAACAGTCAACAGTTTTTGATGGGTGATCAATCATTATCTTCAATTCACCTTTTGGCCTTGAAGGATGAAAGAGGTGGTGGCAATGCTACACAAAATCATCTGCAAGCCTTTTGATGACTGGAGCCCTTTTTCTCACCGTAAAGACAGATTAACTTGTGAAGACAACATGTTCTACCAATGTTTGGTGTCATATAAGCAGAGTACTGTGGTTGTTAATGCTCACAAGTGTTTGTAAGAATGAGATGCCTTGGCAGTCATGGAACTTCCATGGAGCCTGCAAGGAGTCGCTTCAAGGACGCAATGTGCTGGGTCCAGTGCAGCTACTAATTTGCTACAGAAAAGAAACAGACACTTTGTTGATGTAACAAGCTAAACTTCTATGAAATAATTGATGATATTATTTATTTTGTGGGGGTGGGTGTGGGTGCATTGAACAAGAACATGTTTTTAGCTGATCCAGGATTCTTAACTCTCGAGTGTTGCTTGTTCATGGCTGTGCCATTACAATCCACTGGTGTTCTCTGGATTCATAATTAGCCATTGCAGTATTGCATGATAACTTCTGAATGGGTTGAAACTGAGGCCTCTTACTAGCAACACAACCTCTGAGATAGGATCCTCAACTTCATGGAATAAAAGATGTGATATTGCTTATTTGCTTTAAACTCATAGTTCCTTACAAAGCACCAAATGCTAATCATGGGACCCAAACTTCACCTTGGTGAGCTGTCTGCAGTCCCAAAACTGATGATTTCAATTCTACCGGATTTAAAATCAAAACAGAACCAGTTCCAGATGGTTCCAATTTCGATTCAAGAACCGCCGATTTGATTTTTGATTCCCACTTCGAATTCAAACTGCCTATTTTAATTTTTTTTTTCTTTCAAAATACCCCTCCAGTTAGTCATTTATTAAGGACCAGATTCATCATTTGGAGAGACATTTATTTAGATTTTTTTTTTGACTAGTTCAAAACTGAATTGGAACCATTGATTCGGATTCCAAATTTCAGGAACCAGAACTGAACCATCAAAATCTGGTTTCAGTTTGGTTTGAAACCGTCAAACAATTGATCCAGTTTGGTTCCAATTCTTGTTCGATTTGTCTCCGGTTCAGTCTCGGTTCAAATCGGACCGTGATCAGGTCTAGCCATGTACTCTCAAGACTTTGATTTTTTTTTAGTTCAGAATATGTGTTACCAAAAAAAATTACTATACATCTCATAAAATATCAATTGGTAATGACTAAACATGGATATGTTGACTACCACACTTTCAGATCACTTAGCTAAATAGAACATACATTTCATAGTACTTTAAGAACTATGGAAACTTAAAAAAGAGAGAGTTCTAAGTTGATCTTACGATGTCTCCATTTATATTGCTTTACTTGGATGTCTTCCTTTCAGATTTCCTTGAAGCATCTCATAGGAAATGTTTTTATAATGTAGCTAAGCTTTGCACCTGAAAAGAAAAAAAATGGAGAAAGTAAATCATATAGTAATTGCACTGTTTGTTGAAATTAATAACAATTTGTGAGTCTGATTAACACCATCAGGCTGCTATTAGCGCCGTGATTGAAACCTTGATGCATCTTCTTAGAATCCAAGCTCCTCTCTTTCTTTAAGTTTCTCACTGAGTTGCTCTATTGATGGCATTTTGCCATCAGCTTCTAAAGTAGCAGATAACCAGGCCTTCAATTCTTCCTGCAGATACCAAGGTTTATCACAAAACAAGACTGACAATTGATGTTAAAAAATCCACAACCTAACAACACCAATATTTGGTGATTTGTGTCCAGATTAAGCCATGTCATTGCTCAATATGAGATCGATGAAATCTGAGAGAGTAGTGACAAAGTTATTTTCAGGATGATCTTAAGTCATTGTCCATATCACAAGATTCGATACAATGAATCATAGAGAAAAATAGCATACGGATATAACCTTGTTTTGTGTTTGTTTATTGACCACAGTCATCTGATGCTGTTGAATAAATGGTAGCATATGCAAAAAACCTGTTGATATAGACCATGGTATGCAGTACCGAATGGTACCGTCCGGTATGGGCGGTATGTACCGGTCCGATGGCATACCGGTACGCGGACCGCCCGGTACCACTACAGTGCTACAGTATTACACTGTAGTAGTGCTATAGTGTTACAGTAATGAAGAAAATATATAAAATTGTTCGGTACACCAGGGTGTACCGCTCGGTATGCCCTAGTGTACTGCTCGGTACGCCAGTACCATACCATACCGAGCCAACCTCGAAACACCAGTACGATACGGTATTTCATACCTTGATATAGATCATGTTCCATTTAGTGACATGCGACCTTCATGTTGACGACTAGATTGATAAAGTACACAACATACTGGACTCCACATCTTCCACGGCATGGTATGCAGTACCGAATGGTACAGCTCGATACGGGCGATACGTACCGGTCTGACGACATACCGGTACGCCCGGTACCGCTATAGTGCTACAGTATTACACTGTAGCAGTGCTATAGTGCTACAGTAATGAAGAAAATATATAAAATTATTCGGTACACCAGGATGTACCGCTCGGTACACCGGTACTGTACCGTACCGAGCCAACCTCGAAACATCGGTATGGTACGGTGTTGCATACCTTGTTCCACGGTGTTTGTCAAATGCTAAGACCCACTAGAAAAATTGCTCATGAAGTGGGTGGCTTGCGAATTGAATTATGGGCTGATTTCTTGGTTAAGGGATCATCACGTAAAAGAATAAGTACCTAACATACTTATAAACTTTGAATATCTTGACATATGATGAGACTAATAGGTTTGCTAAGGTTTGTCTTTCATGTGCAGTGTGAAACATCCAAATTGTGATGATCCTCTTCCACCATCACCTCCTCATCCTGTTCTTCGTTCTCTGCAGCCTCCTATCAAAATTTCTCCTCCTTCCCTGGACAGATATGTTCCCATAGACCAATATTGATATTGGACTGAGACCTGAAACTTTGTGACTGATAAGGGACAATTTGGTCGGCCGGCCATTGGTTCTCATACTCCTCAACCAATGTGGGACTAAATTGTCTTATCAGTGCTCCCTCCCGTAGGGGAGCCAAGGGCTCATAACCGAGGTGCTTTTCAGCACTATGCCACTCGTATCGTTCATGATCCTTATCATTTAGCACCAGATATCGATACAAATGAAGTCCTAACACAGTCGATAAGTAGTTACTCTAATATCATATTTTTCTGCATAGGCCAAGTTCAAAAAATATTCAGAAGGTGCTATGTGTGAGTTGGTAGCAATTTGCACACATCACAAGCTTAAGGCCACATTTGGTGTGGGACTATCTTAAGGTATCAACATTGTGCTTAGAGGAACCATTAATAAACACACACAAAAAAAGGTTTTAATAAGTAATTCTCATCACCAACAGACAAACAATGATAGGTTGCATAAGGCAGGGTTAGAGGGCCAGCGTAACTGTTCATTTACAATAAAAAATCATCTAGAAATTTCTGCTATGAAATGATTAGGGAAGCAAGATATATGAGCTACTTCAATTAAGTTGAGTAACAGTATGCATTGTTGACCTCAGTTGATCCAAACAGCAAAAGGATGTTAAAGTTTCTAAAGGTAGGGTCCTGAACATGCCAAAAAGAACACGATGCAAAATTGTGCCAAATCAACAATAAATTCATGGTAGAAGGAATAATGCAAGAAACAAGAGCCATCTGTACATGAATCTAGTTGGACAACAAGGAGGATTAAATAAGCAATAATTCAACTACCAAAACATGAGATTGCATTTGTTACCTCAACATAATCATGGTTCGACACAAAACAACATTCCACCGAACATTCTAGATGTCCTATGCTCACAGAAAGGCAGTTTTTATGACCAGCACCTGTAAAATTAAAATAAAATTTGAAATAAATACAAATACAAGTTGAAAATTTCAGCTATCAAGAATCTTGATCAAACTCTCTCATCTAATTATGTTATTTGCAATTTATCTTAATCCAGTCACTTTGAACAGTTCTTTTCCTGGAGATATGGAATAGGCAGGAAGAATCTTACTAATTATGCGAGCCACCTGGTACCCAGTTCCCCCTAGTCCTTTCTCCCACTTCCCAAGTCTTAGGCGTATGAAGAAACCCTCCAGGCTATAACTGAGATTTGCTGATTTCATCCATCTAATAAGATGCAAAAAACAATTAGATAGTGAACTAATATGTAAGTCAATCCATTTGCATCAAAATCCTCCAAGGACAACAGGGTTCTAAAAGGATACAATAACTTGCTACACGACGGCATATTCTAGTAATTCCTAGATGCACAGGTTCTATTGTTCATTACAGTTGTCAGAAAACCATACCCAGTTTCATTGGCTTATTTGCAATTAAGATCCTCCAAACTGCATGTCATATAGGCATCAAGCAGAAACCTACTCCAGCAAGGCAGCATCACATTTACATTCTAATTTCCATAGACAATTATTAATCTTCCTTTTTTGTATATCACAAGTTCACTACCATTAAGTAGTGAGAAGTTCCTGAACAAATGCTCTTTAATGCAAAACCTTCATTCTTGCAGGAATAGGCACCAGAACAGATTCTTGGTAATGGTATCATAAGACCATATCACATACACTAATTCCAGATTAAGAACACATATGGCCCTGAGAAAAGTTCAGACACAACACCATTTGATATAAGATCTAATTAGGAATTATAATATATCCTGTTGATCTGCAGAAAGGCTGACCTGATCCAATCCGATTTCAACTCACATATTAGGGGAGTGGGACCACATAAACAAAGGAAGCATTGCCTCTCTTCAGTAATGCCTCTCTCTCTCCCACTGTCTCCCTTTTTCCCTCTCCATCTACCTCAACCTTAAGTCTCTCTCTCTCTCTCTCTCTCTCTGCTGATGTTGCTTCCTCACTCCTCCCTGTTGCCAACCTCCTTGGCACTAGTCAACTGGACTGGATCAGACAACAGATTGGAGATCAAGAATTCAGATATGATGACCAACTCAATCCTGATGGGACCTGGATCCCGAAGAAAGGTTCATCTTATGTCCTTCATCTCAAAAAGAGCTAGGGAATAAAGGGAGAAAAATAAAAAATTATGTCAGCATCAGAGGTCTCTCTCATTGTCCAACCCTCAAACAGGTTATTGCTCAGATGATACAAAATTATGGTACTTCCAAAATTGAAAAAAAAACCATCAGCGGCTAATATTATATATTACATGCTTCATGTTAGCCACATGGTTTCATGTCCGTCTTTTCATGATAATAGGACATTAATTGATTTTATTAACATAATCGTTGTTAAGTGTTGAGATGTGCATGAGTTGAATCGACTTGAAAATGTTGAATCGACATTAATTGATTTTATTAACATGCCCGTCTTTTCACAAATGTTGAATCGACTTGAAAACATTATGAACTCGTGAAACAATCGAGGATTAAAATGAAGTCTCCATCATGAAAAGAAAAAATGGTCTAGATATGCAATTTTTACTACATATTTGTACTAAGCTTGAAGATATGGAATAAGTGTAGGAAACTATGGATTTCTATTAAGCCATGAATTATAGTTAAAGTTGGCCACTACCTAGCAATAGAAGGGCAAAGTTGGTTACTAGAGGCACCAATGGGTTATAGTTAGTTTTTTTCTCGGTGGAGCTCACTAAAGTGATGGATGGTTGATTGGATGATCTTGCTTTAATGTCAATATGTTATCATAAATTCCATGAGAAAAAAGCTTGACAGACTTAAAAGAGAGCCTAAGATCATATTATTAGAAGCTTGACATTTACCAATTGAAAATCATCAAATAGGGGGTCTTTGAAGGATCCAGAGTATCATAGACAAAACTATAAACAGAGTGTTCGATGTAATGCTTGTGTATGTCCGTGTTTTTCAGTTTTGTTCATGCCATGTGCTATCCAGGTGGCACATGGCTAGATGGGCATTTGGAGTAGTGTCTAGGGTTGGTTCGTTGTCTTGTTCTACAGCAATATCATGTGGGCACTTGTGGGGACTTTTGGCCACGACAGAACACCTTATACATTTTGTCGTGCAACCGTTCAGAGCTTACAAGTTTATGTTTATAATTTGCATTGTCTATTAAATGTTTGCTGAAATGATTGCTTGTGGAATCCTGAGTTAAATGTTTTCTCTAACTCATCTTTTCTTTTGCAAGTCTTAAATGGAATTTAAGAGATTTCAGGGAGGCTAACCATTGCAGACGGACATGCAAAGGTGTCGCACCATTTAGGCAAAACCAGTTAATTCCATGACAAGAGGATAAACAATGGCTAGATCATGGCTGATTCACTACAAAAACATTTTCATGTATTTTTTCTCTTTAAATTTTATTTTATGTATTTATTTTATAATTGTATTTGTTTGATAATACATATTATCTTACCTAGATTTGTGCTCGTTAGGTCAATCATTCAATGTACCAAGTTGTGCTTGATAGTTACGTTTCATGTGCCTAAACAATTTACTGAAACCTACTCATACTTCACGATGATTCTATCATCTCAACCTCTAAAAAATAATATAATTGCTCTCTGATTCATTTCCACAACAACTTAAGGGTATGACCTAAGTCATAAAACTTAAGGTTATGGTATATTGATTATAAAGACCATTTCGCTATAAAATGTCAATTGACCTCAACAGTAGTCTCACTTGATGTTCCTTGTTCCATTTGTGCACCTCAAACATGGGTTCATTTGGCTCCAAATAATTATAATACCATATTCTCTCTTTTGATGTGTCCTATGTACATTAAACTAGTTTCATAGTTTAGTAACAATAGGCATAATATCCAAGCTAGCATATGTAGTCCGTTCTAATATATTTTCTAGCAAACCATACATTCATCTCAACTACATCTTATGACCTTCAAATCTCAAGTGACCTATTTCATATCACCACAGTGAATAATTTCTGGGGTATAGCAGAGATAAGAAAGTGAAGATGGAAAAGAGAAATCGTTATTGTTCTCTACGTGAGTATCAAGTTACCCAACCTAGTCAACAGATTCAACTCATCAAGTTACACCCACGGAACATGCATAAGAGAACCAGACAAACAAGTATGACAGCATGATGCAGATTTTTGTTGATTGTGCAGCTTCTAATAATTTTTCGATCAAGTGTGAAGATTAGGAGCAAGGAATTCTTTTAGTTTTTATTATTAGAGTATGTTTAAGAACTGTTTTCATGATCTAACTTGAATCAGACAGCTAACCAGATCAATTATTATTAGAGTATGTTTAAGAACTGTTTTCATGATCTAACTTGAATCAGACAGCTGATCAGATCAATTATTATTAGAGTCTGTTTAAGAACTGTTTTCATGATCTAATTTGAATTAGACAGCTAATCAGATCAATAGTTGTGATTCTGTTACTCAAAGAGGGGACCGTTTAAGCCATAACTGCCATGATTAAGCATAATGTCATTCAATATGTGCTTAAAAACTTAAATGGTGTGACAGTTTGATCTCAGATGTGACAACTCATGGCTTGGTGCTTCATAATTAAATGCAATAAAAACCACTTGTTCCATTTAATAAGCTTTAGCATCAAAATTTGTCCCTTTGAACTTGTTAACAGATGTGGTTTTGTTTGGATCTTTTCAATGAAAATGTCTGACCTGTTAAGACTCTAATCAATCTCTTTATGGTTTCATTTTCTACATGGATATTTGATGCATCAAAAAGCTAATACAACTGACATGGACAGTATGTCCACACAATTGTTACCCAACCAAAGTTCGTTTGGATTTTGCAATCTACTGTTGGATTGCATTAATTAATATGAATTGATATTACAGATTCAGCAGTTGAATGCAAAACAAGTAGAAGTTTTTAATGAATTTTCCCCTGTTTTAAGAATATTCATGCAAGAAGATTATTTCTCAACGGAATTTAAAAAACTTGAGAATTTAAAAAACACCAGAGAAAGTGTTCATAAATCAATGGTGTCACCTTATTACATCAGTGCGAGATAATCGAAGCCTCCTTATTGCTTTGAAAATTCCATTTTGTTCATTAGAGACATCTGTAGCAATGCTCTTATAGAATGGTGTAATTTGATTTTTCCTTGACTTGTTCTCTGAGGAACATGAAGCCTGTTGATCCATGTTCACGATATTCTCTGCCCGATAGCCCTTGAAAACTTTTGCAGTAGGGAACAAAACTCTGTCTGCACAAATGCTTCTATAATTAACAGTTTGAGCATCCATTCTTGAATCTTCTCTTTCTGGTAATTTACTTTTGTTAGCATGTTGCTTATTTTTGTCTCCAGACCACAAATTTGCTCGGCTATCATGCTTTCCTTCTCTCACAATACAACTTTCATGTGCAACACTGAAAGAACTATTGCTGGTATTTTTTGTTTCCAAGGAAGCATGGGGGCATGAAATTGCCCAGTGATTAACCTGAAAGCACCGAATGCACAACCGGGAAGACATATGTTTGCCATCATACAAATCCAAAAAGTCCTTTACATCCTGGAGGTCAAAATCTGCTAGCTCTGAACATTCTCTTAAGCTGTGACCATTTTTTCCACAAAATAAACAGGTTATGGGAGTACAAGACAAGTTACGGTTATGTGAAACTTTTGATGGATTCATGTCAAATCTTTTTGCAGAGCAAGAAGCCGCCATATCTGTGTTCTTAAAATTTTTAGATGGTATAATCGAGCTTACTCTAGGTTTTAGCATTTGATTGTCTAGCCTCTTCAAACCACAGGAAAAAGTAGGATTGACAGCATGCTTGCTTACTTCTCTAGCAGACTCCCTTTGATTTTTTAAGTAAGAGGAGACGCACTTCTCAGGAAACTTTTCCTCCTTGTCGAAAGCACCATGATCATTTATGCTCAAATTGCATTTTTCTGATCTTAATAGTGGTGAAGACTCTTTCCGCAGAAACCGAGTAATCCATAAGTTCTCAAGGTAATTGCTTTTCTCCCTGCACATCATACTTACTGGGCTCTTTGGATGAGAACTAAGCCTTCCATTTCCTTTCTCCTGAGCACATATTAAACCTTTCCTAGCTGAGGAACTTGAAGTGTTCATGCTATTGAAAGCACATGTCTGAGCACATATTAAACCTTTCCTAGCTGGGCTCTTTGGATGAGAACTAAGCCTTCCATTTCCTTTCTCCTGAGCACATATTAAACCTTTCCTAGCTGAGGAACTTGAAGTGTTCATGCTATTGAAAGCACATGTCTGCCCCCTGTTTTTCTCAAACTCTTCATGGATTTGAGAGTTGGAGGAAGATACATTGATCATTATTGAGGGTGCATTTTCAACATGATAACTGGCCTGATTGTGCCTCTCATTCAAAGAAGAAACTTGACTGTGTGGTTTGCCACTACCTCCACCACAGACAATACAAAGACCACTGGCAGACAATGGTTTGTTAGTTAAATGTTCTTTTAAGTCATTATATGTTTGCTTGCCTCTTGCAGGATCCATTAAGTTGAACTGCAAAAAGTTACCAAAAGCATGATTGGCATAATGTTTATAATGTTCCCCCATGGCTTTTACATCTTTGGAAGTACCGCCTTCTCTTTGATGATCATCACTTGTGGTATTTGGGGCTATCATATTTGGACAGTACAGCGCCTGGAAGAAAGTATTAAAACCCGGAGTTTTGCACATAACTCCCCCAATCTTCTCATGTGATATTCTAAGTGAACCAAAGCTTTCTTTCATGCTATGATAGGATTGTGGAAGAAGTGCCAAGGAAGTCCTGGTCTGATCGTATCTTGAGAAACTGCTCGTTATGGTTGATATCCAATTAATAAAGGAGCTATCATTTCTGATGAGAGATCCTGGGCAAGAGTGTTCATTGCTGTCTCTCTTTATTCTTTTACATCCTTCGGTGGTCTTAGAATCAAAACTGAATGCTCGTTTCCCTTTTGAAATTAATCTCTGACCGTTACTGCTTTCAACACTCTCATTGCTATCCTCTTTCTCTTTCATACTGCTATCATAATCTTCATCATCAAAGAGGATTTTTTCCTTACCTTTCTCCAATTTTCCAGGATTAACATCTGACTTAGACCTAAATTTATCGGTCTCATTTTTAATTTTAATATTTTGTTTTTCATCTTTACTTGCCTCTTGAAAAAGTGATGCTACAACCAAACCATCCTTGCTCTGACACCCTACACTTTTAGATTGTCTACCATAGGAATGTTGACTACCATGAAGCTGGAAGCAAACTAGATTGTCAGTTTTCCTGATATCATCTTCTTGTGTGTCACGGAAAACTAAATCAGGATGTTTGCATTCTGACGATTCTGATGATCTGTTACTTGATATTGACTTTCCACTTCTTGTTGACACTGAGTCATGAGAATCTGATACTCCTACCAAGCCAGATTTTTGAAATTTTGGTATATCAAGAAGCACATTCGAGGTTCCAGCAGTAATTCCAAAGCCAGCTTCAGTTTCTGCTAGATCAGGCCTGGGACCTTTTGGACAAGATGGTATAGAATCAGACTCACACTAGTATCTGGACATTCACAATGATGACGTTTATATTTCAGAGAGAAAATTTGATAAACATTGTGTTAGAACTACCTGGAGAGAAAATTTCATTCTGCAGATTATCTGCTTCTGTGGCAGGACAAATGACATGCAAACACTCATTGCTCCGAGGGGAGCATGGATCCACACCATTTCTAACCGACTGACTAATATTTATATCTGCATCATTCATACCTTTCTCTGGCTTCTTGTCTCCACAAGATCCTGCCAATAAAAAAATATTTCATAACTAGCAAAGTTTTCAAATTCCTATAGAGAAAAAATGTTAAGGAAGTCAAAGTTTAAAACCTCATGAAAACAAAAGTACATATGATCCTTACGAGAATCTTGCTCATGTAAACTTGACAGAGAGATAGGTTGCGGATCAACTGATCCCTTATGCGAGCCCAAGAAAGCAATTCCATCAGCATTATGATTTGACTGTACTGTGCTCAATTCTCCTGCAATCTGATCTCTGCTAGAGCTACTCTCCCCACGATTTGTACACAGCGAAGTAGAAATTCTCATGTTGAATGATTCTGCTTTCCACAAAAAGGAGGCTTTCTTTTCAGCTTTACTGGGGTCAGTGTACTTAAGACTTAAACCTTCTTGCGGAGTCCAAATTAACTCAGAGAGTGGAGAATTGGTGATAAGTACTATCTCTGCCATTGAAGCTGCATTTGCACCTGCACCTGAGTCTTTGTTTACAATGCTTTCGATACATGGTTCAGCCGAATCCAAACCGCCTTTTATGTCCGCCATGGTTTCCTCAGTACATTATGGATCAGCTGAAGCACAGACACTTCAAATCAGATTTCTCTGAAAACAAAAATAGAGATACAGGGCATGAATTTACTGTCCCCATCAAGTTTCTTTTATATTTTCCATTACATCAAATGACATACATGACGCTCACATAAACAATGCACTAACCAACTCGGATGTCTCAACAGAGGCTCCAATCAAGACTTTAAATCTTGGTTCGATATTGATCTTGGCAAATAACTGGACCACTACAGTCAAATTAGACAGGACAGATCATATACTGACCTTGAACAATATACTGCCTAGTATTACTAAAAATAAATAAATAAATCACACCCTAAAGTTGGGCCAACCTAAATCACACCCATCAAATATGAAACCCAACACAAATCAACGCAATCTTCTTCGAACCTTGCGATGATTAATATCGTAGCAGCATCATACATATAAAGTTACATATAAAGTGCAGTAATGAAGAAAGACGAAGGAAAAGAGAAATTTCCATACTACTGGTGCTGCTGCTTCATATCCTGATTTGGCCGTGACGAAAGAGCAGATCTTGGTTGGGGTTTCTAATAACAGAAAGGACAGGAAGGATCGATATTATAGTGGGAAACATAGAAAACGCAATCTAACAAAAAGAATGGAAAGAGACGAGGAGAGGAGAGGAGAGAAGTCAGATTTTTGTGGGTGTGGTGGATTCTCCACTGTGAGCCTCCGTTCATGGTGGCAGATATAGGTGTGGCTAATACAATATTATTGGTTTATAGTACCTCCTACTTCTGGAGGACCGGGTTCTGCCACGCGGACGGAGAAGGGCCACTCGTTCTCCTTCGCTGGGGGCAACTTCTTCTTCCCGCTTTTATTATTATTATTATTATTATTATTATTATTATTATTATTATTATTATTATTATTATTATTATTATTATTATTATTATTATTATTATTATTATTTCTACT